TCAGATTGCTTTTAAATCTGTAACTGAAAAAATGGCTCTGAGAAATCCAAACTGATTTTATTCAAATTCTCAGGGAGAGTGAGCAATTCAGCTGTTAGTGTAAAACCAACCCCAATGCAGTACAGCAAAACCGAGCGAGTTATCTTCCGAGAGCAGTAAGGAGGTAAGACTGGAGTTCAAGTACAATCTGCACCCAAACGGTGTTCTCGTGACTGTTCTCCTGGGTACCGGGTATCCCCTTGTATAACCTGCATCTGTGAGTAGGACTTTTATCTCTGGTACAACCTGCATTCACAAAGTGCTGCGGGGAACCGGTCGTTATCCTTGGAACACAGTTATAATGAAGTTCGTGTGGATGTGACACCCGGGACGGTTTTTTCTTAGTGTTTCAGCCTGGGATGAGGTATCTGTGAAGGAGATGGATGCCACGCACCACCTCCAAGGGAGGTACCAAAATGAAGTGTGGCCAAGTGTTGCAGGACGGTCTACAGAAGGAATCGGTAGAATTATCGGGCAGACTGCTCGCACCAGCGGGGCGATTGCTGTGTGTTCTCCAAACCATTTTATTTTCTACCTGGATACCCCAAGTGACCGCAGCTTCTAGTCCCCTTGTACCAGAGGGAGACCTGTTGTGGCCACTGAGTGCAGCAGAAAGTGGGGCCTGTCTAGGCCTCTCTCCTAAGTGGTTCCACAACACGGTTCATACTCTCTTGTCCCCACACCAGCACACAGGCGACTGAGAGGTGGCACAGTCATGTGATGGAAGGGGCCTTGGTCACTGTCACCCGGAGGAGAGCTGCAGAGGAGGTGTGCCCAACCACGCAGACCCACATCAACTGTGCCTGGTGAGAAGTAGACCTTTGTCATGCTACAGCACGCCAGTCAGAGTTGGGTATCACACGTGCTATTTGTACTTGACAGATAGATTCTGTGGCTCTGTGAGGCTGTAACATACTTTAAAGATGTTTAGGCAATAATCGAGACACAAGCTAATGAAGAACTTTATGGAAGTCAGCTCCACACCTCTGCGTTATTGGGTTTTCTTTCTCTCTTCGAATTTGACATTCTCTCTGTCAACTTTCTGCGTGTATCTACATTCACACTTGACTGCTAATTTTCAATGCTCACCACTTTCCTTTATTTGGAATTAATATTGATTTCAGGTAGTTCTTTATATTTCATTGGTTATTGGCTGGAATTTTGTTCTCTGTTCTTTATTTAAAAAGTAGACGAGAAAAATTGGTTTTCCTGACTTACAATTTTACTTGAATGTTGCTGCTACTCACTTTGCAAATGATTCTCTGAATTTATTTTCCAAATTTAAAGAAAAGATTCTGAAAGCCTTTCACACAGTTTGACAATTCTCTCAAAATATTTTTCTAGTTATATAATTCTGATAAACGCTTTAAACTTTATATGCAAAATATCAGATCCATTCATTCTTTGTTCAATAATATTTATGAATCCTGTCATAAGTGCCCTTCATTAATAGGAACTTAGAGATAAAGAAGATAAGGGCTTGCCCCATGATCTTAAAATATGCGATTAAACTGAGGAATTTATGGCAAAATAACTTCCCCCACCATGAGGCTGACAGCCCGGTGATAGAGGGGGAGCAGGAGAGCACCGAGGACCAGCAGTGACCACAGGGTGGCTGAGTTGAGCTCCCGCAGAACCATGGGGAAGCAGGTGCCACCGTAATCCCTCATTGGCATCCATCTCATACCTGCTTCCTTTGGTCTCTTTTCTCTGGCTCCTGTTGGGTGCTGGCACTGGGGGGCTTTAAGCTTTTCCTTCCCTGGTACTTCCTGAACTGGCACAGGTTCTCTGGCAAATGACTTTCTACAGCTGTCATCAGGCGGTCTTGCTGGTGCCCGTCCTCCTGAACCCCACAGAAACTGCTCCTTCGGGGCGGCCTCTTCTCCCCTTCCAGTGGTCCAGGCTGGCCCCATCAGCACCTGCTGACCTGCTTCCTTCCCCCTCTCGCGACCACTCCCTTAACCATTAAGCCCTCAACACAATGAGGTTCTGGTCAGCATTCAACAATCTTGGGAATGAAGCCCAGGGTCTGTCCTCCTCAGGGACAGAATTTCAATCAAACGAGAGATGCCATCAGGACCTCAGGTATATTTCAGCTCCAATCTCAGAAACGTGGAACGACCCCACTGACCACATCCCTGTGGCCCCAGATGATGTGACACCATGGCTGACATCACAGCTGGTGCATCAGCAGCCCCTGCCCCCAGCCACTGACTGCTCAGTAGATCATGACCCTGACCGTGACCCCTACTCCCTCAGCCACCATGATGAATGACCCCTTCCCTATACAGCCCATCCCCTAGAACTCATCAGGGAGCAAGGTCACGAAGCACGAGCTCAACTGTGACTCCAGGCACGACACCACTTCCTTTCAAGTGAACCTTTACTTTCTTGGCCACAAGCTCCTACTCACGTTTGATGGGGCTTTAGTGAGCCCAGGCCAATGACCCCGTACGTTTTGGTGACTCTCCAGGCCCAGTTCTCACGGATCCAGTCACAATCTACCCACGCCTGCTGCCCGCCACCCTTTGGTGCTCCCGGCAGTGATGAGTTCTGGTTTGGTGTCTGGACTCTCCTGTGGGAGCGCGCCCGCCGCCCACCGCACCTTCACCTTCAACTTTACCGTATGTTGGAAAGCAACTGCCTCATTACAGCGCCTTCATCTGAGCTCTTCGATCTATGGATTATTTATAAACATGCCGAATTATCAAATATTTAAGGGTTTCTGTATTCTCCTTTAAAACCTTTTTAGTTACTTCAGAGTTTTGTTATTTTTAGATATCATTTTAATTTAGCAGTTTTCTTTTGGGCTATAACTTTGCATTTTAAGTGGTTGTCCACGGCATTTAAATCAGTCACATAAAATACAAGAACCAAGCAATAAAACGGGCTGATTTACCGCCCTCCCTGTCCTTGGCACTGGAGTTGTCTTATAAATTACACTGACACACAGCATAAATCCAGGAGATGATGTTATTCTTTTGTTTTCAGCTTTGTATTTTAAAGAGGTTGAGAAGAAAGCCGTCTACACTTACCTGCTTGTTTATCGTTTCTCGGACTCTGTATTCCTTCCACTAATTGGGGTCCCCTCTGGTCTCACTTTCTTCCACTTAAGAAATTTCCTCTAGTGTTTCAAGTACCCAGGTCTGCTGGTAGCCAGCCCATCCTGGTTTCTCACTTACCTGACACATCTTATTTTGTCTTTATTATTTACAAATATTGACAGGTTTTTTTCTCTTTGAGAGGATTTTTTAGACTCTGCTATTTGAGACTTGGGGGTTCGTCTCTTCTCACCGGCCTCCAGCTTCCGGCAGTTCCCTGCGAATGGGTCCCTGTGCTGGGCCTTTCGGGAGTGGGCTCGGATTGCTACCAACAGGCCTACGTCATTCCTGCCTTTGAATGTAGCTTCCTGGGGGTCCACTCAACATCTTGAATTTCTTAATTTATATATTTGACTAATTTGAGAACATCAGTTTTCAAAAAAAATTTTCTTACCCATTCTTACCTTTTTTTCCTGAGACTCCAATGATATATATGCTATAATTCTGATATTGTTCTGCACACTGAGGCTTTTAAAAATATTATATTTATTTTCACTTTCCAATTGGATAATTTCTATTGATCTATAGTTAGAGTCACTGGTTTATTCTTTCATCTTCAATATATTGGTAATCCTATGCAAAGAGTATGTTTTTCTTCTTTTCTTAAATTTCAGATATTTCATTTCTCAGAATCCCACTTGGTTCTTTTTATAGTTTTCACTTTCTGCTAATATATATTTCCTACTCATCATCTTCACACTTTTTATTTTTCTTGAGCACAGTTATAATAGCTGTTTTAAAACATCATTTGCTAATCCCATCATCTGAGTGATTTTAAGGTTGAGCTTTATGTCTTGTCTCTTTTGTATAAATCATGTTTTCTACCATAAAATATATCTAATAATTTGGAAGACTTAAAATTGTATCTGGACTTGGTTAACCATATATGGTAGGGATTTTTCTTACGTTCCCCTTGACAATATTATTTTTGTGTTTGTCGTTGTGTTGTTTCCTTCTCCAGCGGTTAACTTGACTGGCCTCGGATTCCAGTGTGTGCACGACTACAGAGCAGCAGCTGAAACATTCACCGCAACATTTGCCAGGACGCCTGCAGTCGGCCCTGCGAGTGAGCGGCGTGAGAGCCAGCCCGAGAGGTGGGCAGGGGCTGCGCAGGATTCTGAGCTTCTCTCACAGCTCACTTCTGCAACATTCTGCACACGGTCCAGCTGCTGTGGTTGCCCTCCTCCTTTTCTTTTTTCTTTTTTTTAAGAGGGGTTCTAACTGTATCTCCAAGTTTAGGTGCCCTTCATGCCTCCAACAGAGATTGTCCTCTGTCCAAAAGCTGTTGCAAGTTTAATGCCCCTCTAGTGTTCGCTTGATTTTTGTTTTGGTTACTCCCAGTGCCTTTAGTTACCTGCTATTTTGTATTAAGAGTATGCAGTTATAGGCAAGGTAATTAACACACCAGAAGATTCGTCATCACTAAATGTGAAACCTGTTTATGTTGGACAACAAATGTTTTTGCTTTTCTATGAACTATGTGTGTATATGATGCCCACTTGTTAAACCTGCTACTTGGTCTGTTCCATTTCAGGAGCTAATTGCCTACCTGCGAGACAAGCCCAAATGCATTAATCGTGGTTTTTCTTTTTACTTGTTTCAAGATTTTGAGTCACTGGCACTTAAAAAATATGATAAGTAAATTAATGTATAGGGAATTCAACAGCATAGCTTTTTAAATTAAAGAATATCCTGGAAGTCTTTGTGGGAAGCTTTACAGTTAGGGGACGTCTCCGATTCTTCCCGTAACACGCAACACAGATTATTGTTGAACTGGGCTCCTGGCTTTCTAGCTGAATGTAACAGCGCCACTGTGCCCTAGAAGTGATGGCGTGGTGGGAAGTTGAAACTGAGACTTAAATACTCCCTTCGGCAGCACGTATACTAAAGTTGGAATGGCACAGGGAAGATTAGGGTGGCCCCTGTGCAAGGATGGCATGCAAATTCGTGAAGCGTTCCATATTTTTTAAGTATATGGAAATACATGAAAATGAACACACAACCACCCCAAATCTATAGGACACAGTGAAGGCCGTCCTGAGAGGGAGGTTCATAACAATACAGGCCTACCTAAAGAAGATAGAAACATTTCAAACAAACAACCTAACCCTACATCTAACAGAACTACAGGAACAACAAACAAAGCCCATAGGATTAGAAGGAAGGAAATAATCAAGATCAGAGCAGAATTAAATGACTGAGAGACCAAAAAAAATTCAAAGAATAAATGAATTCGGGAAATGGTTCTTTGAAAAGGTAAGCAAAATTGACAAACCTTTATCTAGACTCATCAAGAAAAAAAAAACAAAGTACCCAAATAAATAAAATCAGACCTGAAAGAGGAGGAGCAACTGATATCACAGAAATACAAAGGATTATAAGAAATTACTATGAACAACTGTAGGCCAAGAAATTGGACAACCTAGGTAAAATGGACAAATTTCTGGAAACATAAATCTCCCAAAACTGAATAAAAAAGAACAGAAAACATGAACAGACTGGTAACAACTAGTGAAATTAAAGCAATAATCAGAAAACTCTCGGCACACGATAGCCCTGGACCAGATGGCTTCACAGGTGAATTTTACCAAATATTCAAAAAAATACTAACACCTGTCCTTCTCAAACTATTCAAAAAAATTCAAGAAGAGGAAAGGCTCCCAAACTCTTTTTATGCGGCCAGTATTATCCAAATTCCCAAACCAGATAAAAGCACAACAACAACAAAGAAAGGCCATCTCTCTGATGAACATAGATACTAAAATGCTCAGGAAAATATTGGCAATCCGGATCCAGCACATTGAACCGATCATGCACCACAATCAAGTGGGATTTATCCCAGGGATGCAAGGATGTTATAGCATTTGCCAATCAATAAACGTAACACATCACATAGACAAAATGAAAAACAAAAATGCCATGATGACGTCAATAGATGCTGAAAAAGCACTTGATAAAGTCAAGCACCCATTCATGAAAAAAAAAAAAAACCCTCAGCAAAGTGGGAATAGAGGGAGCACACCTCACCATAATAAAGGCCATAAAGGAGACAACATCATACTCAATGGGCAAAAATTAAAAAGCTTTTCCCTTAAGGACAGGAACCAGACAAGGGTATCTGCTTTTACTACTCTTATTCAACACGGTACTGAAAGTTCCAGCGAAAGTGATTAGACGAGAAAAACACATAAAAGGTAATCAAATTGGAAAAGAGGAAGTAAAACTATATTATTTGCAGATGACCTGATAGTGTACATAGAAAATCTTATAGTCTCCACCAAAAAACTACTTGACCTAATAAGCGAATTCAGCAAAGTAGCAGGTCACAAAGTCAACATTCAGAAAGCAATGGAATTCTTGTATACCAATAATGAATTATCAGAAAAAGAAACTAAGAAAAAAATCCCATTTACTATATCAAGAAGAAAAATAAAGTGCCTAGGAATAAATTTAACCAATGATGTAAAAGTTTTCTATACTTAGAAAATTATAGAACGCTGAAGAAACAAATTGAGGAAGATGCAAATAAATGGAAGCATATACCATGTTCACAGACTGGAATAATTAACATCATTAAAATGTCTATACTACCCAAAGCAATCTATAGATTCAGTGCAATTCCTATTAAGATACCAATGGCATATTTCATAAATCTAGAACAAATGTTCCAAAAATTTATATAGAACTGAATAAGACCCTGAGTACCCTCAGTAGTCTTGAGAAGAAAGAACAAAGTTGGAGAGACCACAGTACTTGATATTAAACTATGCTACAAGGCCGCTATAATCAAAACAGTCTGGTACTGGCATAAGAACTGACACAGAGATCAAAATAACTGAATAGAGAGCCCGGAAATAAACCCATATCCCTATGGTCAATTACTATTTGACAAAGCGGGGACAAGCATACAATAGAGTAAAAGCAGTCTCTTCAATAAATCATGTTGGGAGAACTGGACTGGTACATGCCAAAAAATGAAACTAGACCACCAACTTACACCATACACCAGAGGAGACTCACATGAATAAAGGACTTAAATATAAGTCATGACACCATAGAATTCCTAGCAGACAACATAGCCAGTAAAATTTCAGACATCCCATGTAGCAACATTTTTGCCAATATATCTATCTCTTAGGGCAAGGGAAATAAAGGAAAAAATAAACAAATAGGACTACATAAAATTAAAAAGTTTCTGCATGGCTAAAGAAACCATTACCAAAATGAAAAGGGAACTGACCGTATGGGAGAACATATTTGCCAATGATACATCAGACAAGGGTTTAACTTCCAAAATATATAAAGAACTCACATGATTCAATGCCAGGAGGACAAACAATTCAGTTAAAAAACAGACAAAGGACTTGAACGACACTTCTCCAAGGATGACATACAGAGGGACCAGAGACATATGAAAGGATGCTCAGCATCACAAGCCATCAGAGAGATGCAAATTAAAACCACAATGAGATACCACCTCACACCTGTCAGAATGGCCATCATTAATAAGTAAACATCAAGTACTGGCAAGGAATGGAGAAAAGGGAACCCTAGGGCACTATTGCTGGGAATGCAGACTGGTGCAGCCACTGTGAACAACAGTATGGAATTTCCTCAAAAAATTAAAAATGGAACTGCTTCATGACCCAGCGATTCCACTGCTGGGATTATACCATAAGAATCCTGAAACACCAATTAAAAAGAACCGATGAACCCCAATGTTCAAAGCAACACTATCTACAATAGCCAAGTGCTAGAAACAGTCTTAAGTGCCCATCAATAGATAAGTGAGTTAAAAACCTATGGTACATTTACATGATGGGATACTATACAGCAGAGAGAAAGAAGGAGCTCCTACCCTTTGTGAGAGCATGGATGGAACTGGAGAGCATTATGCTAAGTGAAATAAGCCAGGCGGTGAAAGACAAATACCATATGACCTCACTTAAAACTGGAATCTAATGAACAAAATAAACTAATGAGAAAAATAGAACCAGAGACATGGAGACATGGAACAGACTAATGGCTGTATGAGGGGAGGAGTGTGGGGGAGTGGTGAAAGGAAGGGGAAGGGACTTGTCAAAGAACATGTATGAAGGACCCATGGACATGAACAATGGAGCAGGGATGGATTCTGGGCGGGGGGGGGCTGGGTAGAGGGGGAAGGAGAAAAATTGGGGCAACTGTAATAAACAATAAAAATAAAGCAGAAAAAAAGAAACCGAGGCTTTGACTCCCTATTTGGCTATGAACACACAGCTTAGCATTTTTCTTCCTCGTGTTTGCATCTCCCTTTCTGATTTCTTGGAGTGGGGATCTTGGAGGAAAAATCGAATTAATGTCCGTATTAACAGGTCTAAGTACAAATATGTACTTAGCAACAATCACCAGCCCAGACTTTGTCCTTTCTTCTAGATTTGTTTTCATAATTATGTTTTCATCATTTCTAATGTGCTGTCAATTACATATGCAAATGAAGTGGAGCAGACATTAAAGAATTTCTACATTAGTGTCATAACAACAATGTGATTTTATGAGGTAGATGCAATCCATGCCAACTATTAAGAAAGCTCTGTATCTCAGGCTGTTCTTTATTTTTAACAACTATGTAGTCTGCTTTCAACTGAAATATATAAATAGAATTTTAAATCTTATGTAGAGTTTGGAAACTGCCCAATTTTATGATTTATAGGGACCCACAGCTGCTATATACCCTACACTGTGGTGTTCTGGTTACACATCAGACGCCGAGTACTGAATACTTTTGTTCTCTATATACTTAACATGTCATCTCCTAATCTGTGAACTTCTTGGACTGTAACTTTTTTAAGTGTTATTTTTTGTTTTGCTTTTAAAGAGGGGGAAGGGAGGGAGAGAGAGAGGGAGAGAAACATTAATGTGTGAGAGATACATTAGGGTCCTGGCCCGCAACCCAGTTATGTGCCCTGGCTGGGAATTGAACCAGTGGCCTTTTGGTTTGCAGGCCAGCGCTCAGTCCGCTGAGCCACAACCAGCCAGAGCAAGGCCTGTAACTTTTCGACTTCTTCCTTTCAGCCTCTGGCTAGCCTTCCGTACTGTTGAAGTTCCCTGCCTGCCACCTGTCTCCCACACCCTAGACGGCTCTTTCTCAGCTCATGTTAGACCTGCTGGAAAGACCCATAAAATTCAGTCTGTTTACTTCATTTTATAGGAAAAGAAATAAGACATCTTGTGAATGGACTACGCTGAGATCCGATAGCCAACATGGGACTCGATTCCATCTGTCTTACCTTGTAATTCAGGATACGTCTATGGGACAGAAATGTGACTTAGTTTTATTAGATTTGATTACAAAAAGGTATATTGTAGCTTCTAAGATGATCGCATCATCAAGGAGCTCAGAATATGACTGAAAAAATGGGACAGAAAAATAACTGTAGTAAGTTGTTGGCTATATTTCGTAACATAGTGGTTTCTACCTATGTGTTAAGGGAAACATTAAATTTAATCTTTCCTATACATAACACAAAACTTGACAAATGTGTAAACTTGATTTTCTCTTTGTCTACAAGTAGGCGATTTAAGTGTTAGGCTAAAAAATCAGATGACTTTTGGAGGCTGGCTTATTTTTCAGTGCCACAGAGGAACAGTGACACTGTGCTATCGGAGGGGGTGGGTGGCTGTCACATCTAACCAGGACCAGGGTGACTGGCATTTATACAGTCTGCCCAGAGGGCAGAGCAGCACCGTGGGATTCCGCATCAGGTCGCGTGTGCACCGTGTTGCTGAGAGAACACAGACACTGCAGGCATCTTTGTGCTTAGGCAGTAATTACATTTTAAAAGCTCTATTTGGATACCTTTGACATGTAACAATGTATATATTTAAAGCATACAACGTGATACTCTGATATACTCGTATATATTGTGAAATAACACTACGACCAAGCCAAACAATATACCCTGCGTGTATGTGTGTGTGCATGTTC